GACACGCATGCGGGGCGCAGCCCCCACCTGCAGATCCGAAAGCGCCTCGAGATACACCTGCGGCAGCAGGTCTGGCCGCGCCGACAGCGCCTGCCCGATCTTCACAAAGCTCGGCCCCAGGCCGGACAGCAGCGACCGCAGCTCCGCCGCGCGCCGGGGCGCGTTCTTGTCAAAAGACCCGAGGGCGTAGTCCTTGCCGACCTTGGCTATGAAGCCGCCGAGGGATGCCGCTATGCGGACTGCGCGGCCGTACACCTGCGGAGCGGGTTCGGGCGGCGCACGGGCGTCGAGGGGCGGGCCCGCGCTGCGCCTGCGCCGCGGCCTAGCCGCAGGGCCGCCACAGGCCCGTTCGGCCCACCTAGGCTTGCACACAAGCATGCCGTGCGGCAGCCGCCGGCCGGTGCGCAGTGCCTGCGGCCGCTCAAATTCGCGCCAGGCCGCCGCGGGCGGCCGCCGACGGCGCAGCCGCCGCGGCAGCCTCTCGCAAGCTTCCGTCTAGCAGCCGCGGGCAGCTGCACAGAAGCTGCCCGTCCGCTCGGCCGCGCACCTGTGGCCACCTGCTGTCCAGCACCGCCGCCAGCTTGTCGGGGTCGTATCTGATCCCCAGCTCAACCAGCAGCTGCGGCAGTTCAGGGCTGAGGCGGTCCAGCTGCATAGCATCAACCTGAGAGGTCGGATAAGACAGTTGTCGGGTCCGGCGGGTCAAAAAACGCCGCGGCAGGGTGAGCGCAGGCGCTGAGGGCGGGCGGAACAGAGTGCCAAAGAGTCTTTGGCGGTGGCGCCGCAAAGGCTGGGGGCACAGAGGGGTGTAGCAGGGAGCGCGGCGGGGCGCGGCCTGCACGCCACGGGGCAGCACGCCAGGCCGCGCCGGCCTCCACGAGCGCCGCCGGCGATGCAAACCTCTGCCGGAACAGTCCAAAAGCTTAGCAGCGGCGCAGGGAATGCGCGGCGGGCGGACGCGCGATCAGCTGTGCTTTGCGCACGCACCCACTGCCGCTGGCCGCCCTCGGTCACGAACCAGCCGCCCTCGGCTACGCGTGCGCGATCGATCTCCTCCAGAGACACCATCGCCGCGCTCGCAACAGGCGTCCGCGCGCCGCCGCGCCCGCCCGCCGCAGCGGACACCTCAGGCCGCCGCCGCTGGGTCCACAGCGAGTGCTGCAGGCCGGGCAGCGGGCGCGGCGCCGCGTCGCGCAGCGCCGCACTAGCTGTGCTGCGCAGCGCGCCGCCGCACCGCAGCATGCCGTGCATCGAGCCCGAGCTTGAGAGATAAAGATGGTAAAATTGAGCCCTATGCACTCCGTTTCGAGGCCTAGCCCTGGTCTCGAGGAAAGCGAGTTTGTGGCTGAGGCACAGCAAAGCAGGGGAGCGTGAGGCAGGTAGTGGGTGCTGCAGAAAGGACTGGAACCTGTGCACTAATGCTTCTATTTGCGCACCTCGTTCCGGCGAAAGTGGTGGATCCGGGTGTGCAAGTGACCGGGCAGGACACAAATTGCTTAGTCCTGCAGGCTGTTCCTTGCAGTTCGTCGCGTCTCAATTGTCATTGTGTCATTGTATCGACGATCCGATCCGACGACCCACCAGACCGACTGACATGGAGAAAGTGGGCCCACGGGCTGTGATGGTGCATGCCCACGCCGTAAACGCCGGTGAGCATGGACGACACTGCGGTGGATGGTTGAATCTGGTAGCCACAAGCATGCAGATCACGGTAACACCCATCGGCAGCACGCTGCCCACGAGCACAAGGCTGGGGTGGGGCTGGACTGTGGGAAGCCCGGACTGAAGAGGGCGTAATCCACGGACCCCATGTCAGTGCTGCTCAGGGACCGCACCAGAGTGATTCAACCGCACACGACACTGGAGCCGATGCAGCCAACAGCAACGCCACAGCCTAGCTGCCAGTAACTGGCTCTGGCGCGCCCAAACAGCTGCGTCGCTACACCGACTGATGTTGCCTGCACTGCCTGATGCTGCCGCTGCTCTTGAGCCTGCAGCCGCGTGGTGATGGCCACGCGCCTTTGAGGGCACTCGCGCACGAATTGAACCCGGCAGCCCGACTGTGCACACACAAGGACGGCTTCCGAGGATAGGTCCTGCGTGTCCTCGCTTTCCAGAACGGCTGGCAAGGATGCATGCAATAACTTATCCCTGGGTAGATCCCTGAAGATCAGTGACCAGCTGAGCCCCCCAGATTTGCAGCTGTTTTGCACGAAGTAGTCGGAGGCCGTCCACCCCATACAACAGTCAGAATGCATGTGTTGCATCACATTTCACATGATTTCGAGCACAAATTCGCGATGCAAGGGGTGGACAGGCCTCAGAGCGCGATCAGTTGAGAGTGCAAAGTGGTGCAGGATGTTGCTGCCCGACATACACCAACCGGCTTTACAAAGCTGGTGGCTTCAAGTCACGCAGGAACCTCAAGGTTGGGGCGCTTTTGCCTGGATAACCCAAGTGGTGATAAATGCCCCCTGTTCCACCCGAGTGATGATGAATACCGTCACTCCTCGGCCATTGAGATGCCAACCCTCACCCTCTTCGCCACTTGCGGATAGCCAGCCACTGCCGTCTGGCCAGGGGCCAGCCCTGGTGCGGTCCGTGAGGCCACCTGTGCGCCGCCTGGTGTTTCCACCCAACCGCTCCTCGCCCTCTTGGCACCTGCCGCCGCCCACCGCGCCATCGCCGCTGCAGACGCCGGGCTGTCTGCAAACCGCGGCGGCATGTCCTCCTCTGCCGTGCTGTCACCGTAGCGCCGCCCCCATTCTTCCACCCAAGCGTCATACGCGTCTCGTTCTTGCCCTTGCTGCTCCCGCTGCCGCTCCCACTCCTGCGGCTGCTGCACCCGCTGCAGCTGCTGGAGCAGCGGCGGCGATGACGGCTCTGCCCTCTGCCACGCATCCGCCTCATCCTCCTCCTCGTCGCGCTCCCACGGATACTCCCACTCCTGCTCTTCTTCCTCCTCCTCCTCCCCCTCTTCCTCCTCGTCATCACCATAGTCCTCTGCTTCTGACTGCTGGCCCTCCTCGTCCTCCCCGCCCTCCTCCTCCTCCTCCTCCTCCTCCCCGCTGGCATCATCCCGCTGGTTCCGCTCCTCCAGCTGCCGCGGCGCCGGCCTGCACCCTAGGTTGTGCCGCCACACAGCCCACTGCTCCGGCACGGCAGGGGAGCCGCCGCGGCCGCCAGTGAGCGGTGGCGCTGCGATCTGCTCGAGGAGAGACGTGATCAGCCCATAGTCAACGGCGCCAGGGTCGTCCAGGGACGACAGGTACTGGGGGGATTGCACAGCGCAGGGATGCAGGGGTGGTGGGAGGGGGGGAGGGGGCTCGGGTGAGCTGCAGACGCGAGAGATACCAGACGGTGGGTGAGCAGAGTGCGTGCCCGTAGAGCGGTTGACATGACCAGTGCCCTTGTTAAGTGTACACTGTGATAAAGTAAGTGAGTGACTGTGGCAGCGACATGGGCACACCTTGTAGCATCGGTCAAAAGCTGGAGGGATCAGGCCCTGGAGGGATCAGGCCCAGGATGTGTGTGCGTCGGTGTGGTGAGGCAGGGTGAGGTGTTGGTAACAGTGAAAATCAGTTTATCAGCGTAGCTGACCATCAGCCAAGGATCGGCTGTGATTTGCCGGTGTTTTACCGCCACTTTGATGAGGCCTCTCTCAGGCAAAGACGATGGGCTCTTTCAAAAGCGCTGACCACAATTTTGACCGCATCACCGCACATGCCCATTCACCCAATACCTGGTCCACAGCCCGCTTCCAGCCCCTCTCCTTGCTCTTGGCCCATCGCGCCATGAGTTTCTCAGACCAATACCCATTCGCCTCATTCCCCTGCACCACCTAGAGGTTTTGCAAAGTGGGATTGGGAACGGACAGGGGAAATTGCACACAGCACAAATGCCTAGGCAAAATCCACACAACGGTACGCATCCCCAGTCGTGCATTGCACGCATCGCAAACCTGCTTGCTGCGCCATAATCACAACCCCAGCCACCACGCGCCGCTGCCGCGGCCCGCGTCCCCACCACGAAAGGCAGCCAGTTCAGGGGCGGCCTGCCGTCCGGCCCGAGGGGCGCCGAGATGGAGAGCAGTGAGTACAGGAGGCCCTCCACGTCGTCGCTGGGGGTGGGGGGCCACCCGCGCAGTGCGGCACGCGATGCGTATTGGGGGGTTCCGTACAGGACAGGCGGCTCCTCGCTCTCTGCGGGATTTTTTTGGTTGGGGGCGGTGGAGGGTGGAGGGTGGATTTAGGATAGTGAGCGCATGCCTGTCAGGTCAGCATGCGCGAACGAGCGACCTCGTCCCACAACATCTGACCTCCCTTTGATACAGCTGCAATCAACTGGCCGGCCCTCAGGCGAGTGCACCACGAGAATCCCGCGACTCTCAGCTGACCCACCTGGGTCCCAGGGGTGCGCCAGGTTGTAATCAACCAGGTACAGGCGGCAGGCGTCCAATGGCCGGCAGCCAGACAGGGGCCGGCAGCCATAGAGCCCGCACATGTTGGCGGGCTGCGGTACGGTATGGCAGGGGCGGCGACAGCTACTTCGGCCTGCCCACGCTTATGAGCGTCCTCTGCCGTCCGCTGAATCCCTGGCCTCCTTTTTGGGTGTGCCTCAAACCCCATGATCCTTCACGTGGCGCCTGCCACAACCCGTGTTTCACCCACCCTCTTGCCCCCACCCCACCTTGACATCCCGGTGGACCAGCCCATGCGAGTGCACCCAGCTGAGGGCCTGCAGAACGCGCAAACAAAGCGGCCACTAGACGTGAGTGCGCGGCTGTGTGCTGGCACAACCAGCAGGCAGCCGTGTGGGGTATTGAGGCGGCAGCCCGCAGGAAGGCATATCATACTCAAAGCAGTACAAGGTGGAGGGATTCGCAGCTCACCTTGATCGCACGCTTGGCCATCTGCACCAGCTCTCTCGCACTCAGCTCCTTGCTCCGGTCTCCCGCTCCCCCGGCGCCCTCGTCGCACTGCGCGGGCGCGGCACGCTGGGCGTTGCCGCCGCCTCTCGCATCCAGGCTGCCGCCCAGCAGCTGCATGGCGATCCAGCTGACAAAGTTGGTGCCTGCAGCACCCTGAGCAGGGACGACAAACGCACCTGCGCCCGGGTTTGTAGGGAGACAATGGGGATGTTAATTCAGCTCATTACCTGCCAAAAAGGCGTGCGGCTGAAGTAGCTAGTTTTGGCCTGGCAGCTGCCTGGCAGCTGCCTGGCAGCTACCCAGCAGGCGTCAGCCCACCTGATGCATAGGCTGTTGGTATGCCGTGATCACGCGCCGCCTGTGCCTGCAGGGGCCACCATTCCACCGCCTCGAGCGCCTGGTACACCTGACTTCGGGAAAATCGGCAGTGCGTTGACAATAGTGCGAAAGTTGGTCATGACTTTTGGGGCGCTTGTCGGCAGTCGGCAATAATTGGAGGCTTCGATTGCTGCGTGCATGCCCTCGCAGGGCAAACAGGGCATGCCCCTCACAAATTTGGCCCAGTCTGCGCCCTTCAACCGTCAACACAAGGCAGCCGAGCAGCCCTCCATGACTTCGCCCCTCAAAGCCCCTGCTTTGACCCCACCCAGCACCGCCCAAAGAGCAGTTACAGGCTCCCGCACCCGGAACTCCTCCTCGCATCTGCTCTTGATTCCCCTTGTAAGGCGGTACGCATTCTCCTCTGAGCAAGACTCAAAGGTGCGCGCGGTCCACCAATCCACAGACAGCTTGACAGCCACCTGCGTGGGCGACGGTGGCAGGAAAAACGTGGTCTTGTCAAGATTGAGGATTGAGTAGGCGCAGGGCAACGGGCGGCGCCACCAGCAGCCACCCTTCAGGCAGGAGTGCGCATTGTTTGGCATGAGGCGGACTGAGGGGGCGCGGCTGCTGTGCGCCAGCTGTACTCTGTGGCCAACGGCTGAGGAAGCGGCGGCGGGTCAAGCAAGTACTCACGATGCGGTTGGATGTGAGGTCACGCGCTTCAAACACGCTGGCATAGGCGCCCTGCGGGGATGCAGTTTGCAATGAGCGACGGCACACGTTGCTGTAGAGTCACTCAAAAGGTTGGCCGACCCTGTGAGCCATGAAAAACGCGCATGGTCGGCACCACTTGAACCACGCATCCATTGCATGGGGCACTTGGGTCCTTGGTGCTTGCCCTTCTGGCATGCATGCATCATGTTGGAGCCCATGCAGCCACATGATCCGGCAGCTATGTCCCCCATCACATTAGTTGTGTCTGGTCGGTTGCATGTGTGCCGCACATTAGCGAAGAAACCGTGCGCTCGCCCGCCATGCACGCACCCAAGCACCCCACCTGCCCGAGCTTGCGCAGCAGCTGGTACTGTGGTTCCCCGCGTGGCGGGAACGCGCAGGGCGGCACCAGGTGCAGGTGGTTGTACCTGGAGCACCCGCTCATGCCGGGCGGCTGGCACGAGAGTTCGGGGCTGGGCAGCAATTCAGAGTCACCGCCGGGCTCTGGATCTGAGGCATGCTGGTCGTAGTCTTGGTCCTCGTACGCAGCGCAGGTGCAGTTGTACCCGTCGCAAACGCTGCAGGCACCGTCGGCGCACCCGCCACGGGCCGGGTGGAGGCTGCTAGTGGCGGCGCCGGGCACTGGAGCGTCAATGAGGGCCGAGCGAGGCTGCTGCTGCTGCTGCTGCTGCGGCAGCGGCGGCGGTGGTGGTGGCCGTAGAGGGCTGCCACTGTCCCAGCCCCAAGGGTGAGGCTGTTGGTGCTGTTGCTGGAGGTTCATGTCAAACTGCCGCGCCTGCCGCCGCAGCCAGGTTGGCGGCGTTCCAGCAGTGAGAGCATCGGCCCCAGTGTTGGTCCCGCCTGTGGGCTGCCATGGGGCATGTTGCCGCTGACGGGGCTCAGATGCTGGCGTGCGTGCCTCAATTAATGCTGCAGCTGCGGCAGAAGGCAATCCCAGCATGGTCGGAGTCGAGTGGAAAGATCTGTCAGAGTGCGTTTGAATCTGACGCAGACGGTCGATCGCCGATACATCACTCCTCAAAACTATTAATCTTGGATTTTCAATGAGGATGCACGTTGTGACAGTATGATATTGAGACCATGGCGGTGGCAGCATGCCGCGCTCCGGCCCGGATCGTGCTTTGCGGCACTCGGTAGCACAGCACACCAGCAGCACACAACAGTAGCAGTCGAGTCCCCATCACAAAACACCTTGCAGCCGCGTCTGCATACATTGCCGCGATGGTGCAAGTGCATACCAACCGGATGATTACAACCGTACACAAACAGCCAGTTGGGTGCACCTGATTATGCAAAACTTCAGGCTGTGGCCATGGTCTTGTAAGCTGGTGCCGCTGCCACCGCTTTGCACAGTGACTTGTGTGCCACCCAGCCAACCGAGGTGATGGCAGGTGGCCAAAGGGTGGGCTGTCGAGGTTGAGAACGTATCCGCCGCTCAAGCCGCTAAAGGCTGATCACTACAAGAGAATCACGCCTGTTGCGGCCTGCGTGCTGTGTAAAAAAGGATTCGGATCGGGCACGGAGACATTCTGTGCCCTATCGCGGGCCAGCTGGGTCCAAGCCCCACGCAACCTAGGCTGCTGGAGCTGTGCTGCCTCAAGAGGTGCCAAGTGGACCACGTTTAAATTCTACTGAAAAGAAACGACTTACGGCTGGCCTGGCCAAGCTCTGAATGTACACAGTTGGTATCAGTGGGCACATGTACTGCACCAAGCGGACACATGGCACCTGGAGCGAAGGTCATTGCAGCGCACAGATAAGACACGCGCAGCTTTGCTCCGCCGGACCGTTGGCCTGCGGTCAGCTGTGCAGTGTCACACTCAATATGTGCTGGTGATCCCACCCAGCATACACCCCAGCCGTTGCTCTGCAAACTGCATTGACCAGACGCCTCCAACCTGGCGAAGGCAGGCACGTCCTGCAGCACCGTGGGGCGTGGCGGACAGGCGCAGCATGCGTCGCAGGCCTCTGCCGCTCCTGCTGGCTTGGCCTGGAAGTCGCCCCAATTTTCAATGTTGAGCTCCTCAAGGCTGCTCGATCACGCAGGGTGCTGTGCACATACTGGTTGTTGATGTGTGTAGAACATCACACAAGCAGTAGAGCAACGGCCGATGCGCATGGTGCACTCCCTGGACACCCTGGCGGCTGCAAACTACGTCCCGGGCAACAGTTACAGGTCGATGCCGTGGAAGTCGCGTGCGAGTGTATTATCACGGTCGCTCAAATGCGGTGACCTTTCGGGGCCTGCCATGCAGGGCCTGTGGAGTTGCGCTCGCCCACCGCCTTGCCGCCAGCTCGGGGCGGCAGCGGCGGCACCGCCGACATGCCTCGTTCGCACGCCGCGCCGCTGCGTGCGCTCTACTGGTCTGAAGCTTGCTGTTTCATGAGGCCCGCTTGACGATTGAACAAAAAGAGATCTGACTGCCCTGTGACGCCGCGCCTTGCTTTCCTCGCAGGTAATGTGCGCGCTTTGCACACCACACACCCCATCATCAGGTTGCTCGCACATGAGATGAGTTGTCAATAAGTGGGCGCATTTTGCCAAAGCCCTTCTCAAAATCCCAGATGTGGTTGATAACAAGCAGCTACCAGCACGGTTCCTGGGCGTCCCCCCCCCCCTTGCAATCTGTGCGCGCTTTGCTAGCGGTCACGGTGCTTGCCGAAAGGGGCCTCCAGGTCTGCAGCAGCAACACCGTACCCATGCACTGAGCCCTTGCGTTCAAAGTAAGCATTGACTTGTTATGCGCATAGGGCTCGCGGCCCTTGCACATCAGCCACCTACCATAGTGCTTGTGACCTGCCGATGCAGCGCTGATGCAGCGACCCACGGAATGCGCGTGCTTGCGCCGGGCCTCCTCTCAAGCTCCACGGCCACTCATACAACTGTCAAGAATTTATCATGATATCTTCGATTCCACGCATTTATGCGAGCACCGCGCCAAGCTTCAGATCCTTGTCATATTTCAACAACAAACGTTGACGATCTATCCGTTGAAATGGTGGGAGGGTGAAGTTGATACATCAAGCAGAATTTTGCACACAGTGCCGCAGGCCTGAGGAAGCAAGGTTGGGGCGTCAGCTTTGGCTGCGGGACATCCGGCGGAGCCTCGCGCAAGTGCTGCAATGCGCTTTGGCAGACCACCAAAGGCGAGTGGTTCCTTCCCCACTTCTGTCACTTTCAGGCTGCAAAAAGCACCGTACGGTCGCTGTGGGCGCTGCCGTTGACTGTACGGGCCCCTGCCTTCCTCCAGTAGGCCGGCGGCGCCGACGTCGGCACATTGGTCAGCAGCACGACGGGCGACTGCACCCTCAGGGACCTGTGCGCCGGCGACAAGGCCAAGGTGGCAAAGCTGATCAAGCAGGTTGTGGAGCTTGGCAAGGAGGTGCGGCAGCTGAAGGGGCACGAGCCGCAGGTGCAGCGCGACGTGCAGCAGCAAGATCAGCAGCGGGAGCAGCAACAACGGCAGGAGGACAAGGTGAGGACATGGGACGGGCACACCTCACCTGGGCTGCGATGACTTGGGACACTGGATGCCACGTTGCGGTGCGACTTATTCCTCGTGCAAGCACTGACGTCGCGTCAGCGACGCAGCCGACTGCGCTTGCATGTGTGCTGACTGCCTCCGTGATCCTGCCAGGCCCCCGCGCCGAACGACCGACTGCACCAGCAACTGCAGGAGACCAACCGTCAAGTCATAGAGCACAACATCGCGTGAGTCTGCAGTGCCCAGGGCTGCCCCGTACAGGCTTGTGCAGCCCTCACGTTCTGCCAAAAAGCAGCGCGGAGCGCGAATGCGTCACTCGCGGTTACGAGCCCAGTTTGACCAGCGTCAAGCAGAGACTATAACAGCCGCGGGCGTTTGTGCAGGTGCTGCGGACGTACTGCCGCCTTCAGCCGATGCCTGCCCCCGCGATCGCAGGCTGAAGAGCAAGCTGGGGCAGCTGCTGCACCTGCTGCGCACATACCACCATAAAGTGGGTCGGGCGCACGCGTGCAAGAGCGCACTGTGCTTGGGGGCCGCACGGCATGCTGGCTGAATCTGACAGCAGCAGCTGGGGTGCCGTCCGCCCCGGAGCGGCGTATTCAGGTGCCGCATGCGGCCGTGCAAGATGTGACTTTTTTGGCTGATGCTGTAGCATCCGTCCTTCCCTGGGATCGATGGGGTGCGCCCACAGGTGCAGGTGCTCGAGGCGGCCGTCAAGGCGGCTTCGCACCAGGCGCAGCCAGGCGAGGGCGCCAAGCAGCTAGAGGGCAGGGCAGCGCCGCCCAGTGAAGCAGCACCCTCCGAGGACGCCGGTGCATCAGGACAGGGGCAAGCGGCGGCTACGTATAAAAATGGTCCGCAACCACCGGGTGCTCCGCAGCAGCAGCAGCCGCAGCAACAGCAGCAACAGCAGCAACAGCAGCAACAGCAGCAGCACGCGCAGCGGGAACAGCAGCAGCAGCAGCGTGAACATGAGCGGCAGACGGCGGTTGAGTCTGAAAGCGCACCGCAGGCAGCACAAGGCGCAGCTGAGCCACGCAGCTCCGCACTGCTTGCGGCGGCAGATCCTGCAGCACTGGCCAAAACGCCAGCAACAGCAGCGGCAGCAGCAGCAGCAGCAGCAGCAGCAGGAGCAGCGGCAGGGGCATCACCAGGAACGAGTGCCACCACTCCGCCGTCCATTTTCCTCCCAGCGCCCGACGCAGCAGCAGAGGTGCCGGCGACGCAACCGCCCTCAGCGGCCGCGTCGCCCGCGCCGCCGCCGCGGCGGCCACCCAGCCTGGCACGCAGCGCCGCCGCCGGTGCAGGGCCGGCTCCACATTTCACCGCCATCTCTGGCGCACCCAACGGCAGCACTGGTATGGATGGCGGCGGCGTCTGCGGCGACCTGGAGGCGCTGCCGGTGGTGGTGGAGGCGGGAGCCCAAGGCAGCGGCTTGGTGGAGGGCCTGGTGCGCTGGCAGGTGCAGCGCGGCATCGCCCCGCCGGAGGAGCTGGTGAGCCGCGCAGCACGGCCCACCCCGAGCTTGAGCGGCGGACTGCGCTCGTGAATTCGGTCAAGGAGTGCGTCGTGTGCACTGGCCCCTGCCAACCCCTGCCATGCTTGACATTCGAAAGCCAGATATATGGACCCTGCGATGTTGTCCGCAACAGCAAACCTTAACTTACGTATCACCTCCATGTTGCCAGGGTTTTGCTGGCGGCAAGGTGCTGCAGTTTGACCCTTCAATCGGTGCCCATGGCGCCTTCTTCATCACCGATGCTGCCGGCACGGCAGGCGGCGATTCATGGCCCCTCGCTGCGGCCACAGAGGGGGGCAGGGAGTTTGGCTTGGAGGCCTCAGACTTTCTGGCAGCGCCAGCCAGCTATGGATGGTTGGACGACAGCAGCGGAGGCGGCGGCGGCACTGCAGCGCACGCGGGGTACGGAGGACTCTTGGCGCCAGGCAGAGCGTCAGTGCAGCTGCGCGGCGGTGCCGCGGGTGCCTCGGTCGGCGCACCACGTGAGACGGTTGCGGCTCAAGCAACAGGTCGGCAGGAGACAGGGGGGGGGGGGGGTTGACGGGGTTCCACAATGCACCGTGCTCAGTGTGGAGTGTTGCGACCACCTCACATCATCCTTGGCTGTTTGCCCTGGCTTTGGGCTAGCTCTTCGGTATCCAGCTGAGATTGAGGGATGGCAATGGCATTGACGCAGCAGCCCTAAGCTTGAGCTGGAGGCACAGCGCCGATGGTGCAGCTGACCAAACCTTTCCCTCCCCCAAAACACACCCCACACAGGCGCCAACCCCGCGCTGGCCCGCGTGCGCGGTGCAGCGCCGCATGCGTTTGAGCACAGTCTTGCGGCAGGCAGCCCGACCCGGCAGCAGCTCCTCTCCCTCGCCGGCTCTTTGGATGCTTTGGCCTTCGCACGCCCTGCGACGGCAACACGCGGTCGGCCAGCAGGGGCGGACTTCAGCAACCCGTCTCAACACAGACTGGCGTCGCTCGCACACCCGCCGGACGACTGGCGGGCTCGCTGGCCGCACGAGTCGGGCGTTGGCTGCGGCAGCCGCGGCGGCGGCTCCCCGCGCGGCGGCAGCAACGAACGCGGCGGCGGCGGCGAGGGGGCACTGACGGCAGTGGAGGGGAGTGGTCACGAGGTGGCGCCAGAGGGGGTGGACCCTTCAGAACTGCACGTAATTGTGCATAGAGAGCCGCTGCGCCGCAGCGCGGCGCGCGCGCCGCCAGCTGTGGGGACGCCGGGCGACGCTGCGGCGGCTGCAGCTGGGTGGGGGCTCCCGCAACAGCAGCAGCAGCAACAGCAGCAACAGCAGCAGCAGCAGCAGCAGGAGTGTCGGCCGCTCTGGGCGCACCAGCAGCTCCCCGCGTGGCAAGGCGCTGCCGGCAGCAGCAGCGGTCTCGGTCATCATGCAGTTGCCAACAGATCGCTCGACCCCATCACAGGCGGCAATGTTGGCATGCACGATGCGTCGTGGCCACAGGTGCCGCCGGTAGAGACCGGCGTGCCCAACAGATGGGGAGGCGTCGGCACAGGCGTGGTGGCCAATGGTGGCGGCCCGGCCTGGGACACGCCACACGTTGCCGCTGGGCCTCTGGCGCAGCCTGCGCTGCAGCGCCGGCCGGCAGCGCAGCCGCAGCTTTGGCCAGGCCAGCTGGTGCCCCGGCCCGCAGCTTCAGCGACAGCAGCTGCATTACCACCACTAGCAGCAAACGTAGGGATATCTACTGATGATGAGCTGTCTGAGCGGTTCGACGAGTCGTTGTTGGATCTCCTGCTTGAAGTGGAAGATCTGGAGCAGGCGCGAGATTTGGGGTCACAGCAACCGGCTCGGAGCAATGGGCAGATGCTGGGGCCCGGACACAGCATAGACGCACAACTGCAGCTGCTGCTCAAACAGCAGCAGCGGCAGCAGCAGCGGCAGCAGCAGCAGCAGCGGTGGGGGAGCCAGGGGGAGCATGCAGAGTGGCGTCGGCATCCTGTCAGCAGGGTCCATGGCTCCGGCAGCTCAAGAGGGGCGTCACCGGCACTTGATCCTGATGATGAGGATGACATCGATGTTTTGTCATCTATTCTGAACTCACCGTGACTATTGCTTTGACTTATGACGACAATAGTATTTGACCGCCTGCGCTGAGGCACTTAAGCTGGGCGTTGTGACCGTGCAAGCCCTCAACAGCAGTGGTTGCTGACAATGGTGTGTCTTGTTCATTGACATAAACTCAACATGAAAGCCCAGGGCCTGACCGCTCAATGGATTTAAACTGCGTTTTCCTCAGCATTGATTGTGGAACAGCGACTTCATCCTCCACAAGATCGTTACCACGTCGCACCCGCTGTTTGCAGCAAAAGCCAAGTGCAGCCAATTGGCGTGAATAACAGCACCACACCAAATGTCGGTGAATTCGTAACTTTCCCCCAAACACGCTGGCCAAAACACGTTGGCCAAATCTCCTGATAATTGCAGCGCCAGCAGTCTTCAGGCGCGCTCGAACGCACGTGATCACACCACCACACACATGCACGCGACGCGTGGCGTCAATGGGGGTTCCAGATTATGGACTGGAGCGCAGAATTCTTGCTCCTGCCAAAGGCGTCAGCAGCAGCTGGTCGGACTGCAGTCAAAACACAAACTACACCATGGGCCGCAAAAACAGCCCTGGGTAGACGGGCGCAGGACAGTTTCGAGGCGTGCGCGTGCACAGCACGGCAATGATGGCGCAGTGAGTACAAGCGCTGGCGCTGCCCTCCAAGCATAATGTTTTGGGATACGATGCAGACAGAAAGTGATAGGAATAGCTGCCATCATGGGTGACTCCATGATGGCGGTCAAAGCGGGGGTCAAACACCAAAAGTTGCAGCCTAGGAGCTGCAGGGCGGAGCCACAAACACTCTGGACTCGCCGTACGATCCATGCATGCTGGTGTTTGAGAACAGCCACTCCTTCCTGCCGGCAGCGGCACGAGCACCAAAGCATGTTTCCCGTCCAACATCACCGATTGTTGCAAACATCATCAAATCCAAGACATGTTGATCCGCAGCTGTGCTCATGAACCGCTGTCGCTGTCGCTGTTGCTGCCGCTGCCGCCGCCCCCATGCACCCTGCTCGACCGCACGCCGACGCGCAGCTGCACCTGCTCCAGCTTCGCCTTGTGGCGCACATCAACCTCCCTCTGCTCCGAGGCCGAGAAGTAGCACTCCACCGCGCAGTGCAGCAGCGCCGCCGCCGCAGGCGTCGCCAGGTCGTCGGTGGACTGCCACATGACAAAGTAGTACGCCGTGTTCAGGCTGGTCAGCACAAACCCCAGCCGGCTGACCTGGAACCGCTGCAGCAGCCACACAGTTGTAACCAGCCGGAATGCCCGCGCCGCGCTGCGGCCGCCGACCTCGCTACTCACTGCCGCCGCCGCCGCTGCGCCAGCCGCCGCGCCGCCGCCTTGGACATCGCCGTCCTCGTCGCAGCTGGCGCTGGCGCTCGCGGGGGCCGAGGCGCCTCTGCGCTCGGAGATGGCAAGCCGGAAGTACCGCTCTGCGCTCTTGAGGGCGTCCGACAAGGCCTCCAGCTCCCATTCCCGCACTGACAGACAAGACGCAACCACAAAGCCTGCGAGGGCGGGCACGGCGTCGTCAGCCTGCTGAAGGAGGGCGAGGACCGGCCAGGTGCACAAGGGCCGCCACCAAAACGTGGCGCGCCGCGGCGCGGGCGCGGGGCGGGCAGGGCGGCTGGGAGCGGCAGCGGGGGGCGCACGTGGCGCGCCGCTGCCCGGGGGCGCACCTGCGGTGTAGGCGCTGAGTATGGACGGCACCAGCATGCCAAGCTCTGGGGGGATGCGGGGTGCGGCGTCCGCCGCGGCCGCGACGGCGCCAGCGCTTGGCAGCGCGGTGAAGAGCGCGGAGGGCGAGAGCACTGCTGAAGACAGGAACCCTTCAAAAGCGTCCCAGCCGGCCTGGCAGGGTGGTGGAGCCGCAAGTTCTGATGGGTGGCGTCTCTGAGGCAGACGCGCAGGATGCAAGGCCAGGCTGTGGCTTGTGGAATGCCAGGTGTAAAGCGACACGGGTAAGTACACCGGAGCAAGCGGCGTGGCAAAGAACAGCAGGCGCCGCACAGGTGTGTGCTTGGACACGGGAGCCAATGGGACAGCAGTGATGATCCACGCGACGTCACCTCACCTTGTACGTGGGGAGGAGGAACAGCAGGCATGGGACCACCAAGAAGCCAAAAAGGACTCCCAGGTGGCCCACAGACATGCCTGGGAGCAGCGGAAGGAAAGCATGCGTGCGCTGTTGTGGGACAAGGTGTGAACAATGCGCACATATCCGTCAAGTTGGCTAGATCCGCCGGCATGCCCTGCAGAGCTGGTCCAAACCCCTGTGTGCCTTGCTAGCTGATCTCTGCAGAATTGGGTTCAGCGCTCTCTGACAAGAGCCTGCTTGAACCTGCTCCTGCCACCTGCTCTGCCACCTGCTCTGCCACCTGATCTGTAAAACAAAGCTTTGCATACATCAAGCACCCCCAGCCCTCATGCCCATTGGCCTGCCAGCCCCTCGTAACACCAACCTGTTATCATGGGCGCCACCTGCTTGCGCTGCTCTGAGTGAAGCTCCTCCAGAACGGGGAAGGCCGCCCTGCCCGCGCGGCTGTGGCCCGCGGCGCTGCAGGCCAGCAGCGGCAGGCCGAAGAGCAGGCCCTGCGCGGCCGCCTCGAGGCTCGACGGCGTGAGCGTCATGCCGCCTGCGTACAAGGAGCACACATGAAATACCGTTAAGCTTTCATGTCGCAATACACTTGGAGGCCAGCAACAACGATGGACATGCACTGTCAGCAGACAATGCAACGGCTCATGTTTGTCAGCGCAGCGCTGAGCGACGGCCAACTCCGGTCACAGCGCTCCCATCAGGGCGGCTGGCGGCGGCAGCGTGGCCCATGGCCCATGCATGCACTGGTTATCGTGCTGCCCAGGTGCTGGGGCGCACCCATGGGGTCCTCCCGGCCGATGAAGCACGCCACGAAGGCGACGGCTGTGACGAGCGCCCCGCAGTTGGCCAACAGCGTCAGCCGCTGGTCAGGGGAATAGCCCTCAACTTCATCCAACAAGCTGTCATGATTGCTCCTGCACCCAAAAAACGCGCGTTGGGAGGGTCGATGAGATAAGAACGGCTGCGGGTGGTCGGGTTTGGTGGGGGTGGGGCTGGAGGCTGGGGCTGTGCCGGTTGCTGGGGCTGTGCCGGTTGTGGGGTCCCACACTGCAACGCCTGTGTTTGATAGAAGTTCGGGCTCTTGCAGTTATTCTATGTGGCCCAAACTGCTTTTGAAGAGATTTTGTGCTTTGGCAAGGGCCACCGGTGAAGATAGCGCCGTTTTGGCGCTGGCGTCGAGTGGCTGTCGATGAGCGCGATGTTGTGTCGCAGCAGCATCGATGCCGGCAAGATGCGGCGCCTTTCCTTACCCACCTGACTGACTTTAGCAGCGTCTCCAGTCGCTCGCCCGCCATTTCAAAAGCACCGTTTGCCGGGGCTGCCTCCCCGGACTCCTCCAAGGACGAGAGCATGTTCGAGCCAGCGCCGGAGACGACATAGCGTGGTCTCCGCCCCTGATACCGACTACACAGTCCCGGTTTATTCGATATGCATGCTGCTGTCGGGCGCAGTGCTCGGCGGCAGATCATTTGGCTGATTTCTGTCCTTTTGTTATCAGAGCGAAGGGGGCTGGTTGGCGTCTCATAAGCAGGAATGAAGGTACAAACGTATCTGGATGCACTTCGTTGCGGTACTACGGGTCAAACAGATGGACAGCTGCAAGGCAGTGACATCAGCATTGCCGTCGACCACCAGATACGCCGCAGCAAGGTGGCAAGAAACAGCCAAGGTGGCGCGGACTGATGCGTCAGCAGTGTGCCATGGATCAGCCAGGCATGCGTGCAGGCTTTCAGCCACATGAGCACAGCTCGCCACACAATGTCCTCACTGGATCACAGCCTCTCCGCCCTTGCGCCAGCTCCCCGGCCCCTCACATTTGCACACCCCTGAGAGAGGGTCGACGGATGCTGTGGCCCATGCGCGTGACACCACTGGGCAGCGCTGGTGAAGTGAACTGTGTACCACCTCTGCAATTACGATGTGTGACAACAGTGATCTGCAGCTTGTATGCCACATGCTACACGCATTCTGCGCCATCACTTGCCATCTGACAGATGACAAGAACGTCTGTGAACCTAGGACCCCTATGAGATGATGTGAAGTGAGGCATATATTTTCATATGAAGCTGGGGCTGTGCATGACAAAGCTAAGGTTGTAGGGTGCACTGCGGGCAACACGCGCCGGGTTCCGGCGCAAGGCTTGCCACTATCAGCAGTCACCATCCGTCATGCTCAGGGCTACTGTGCACTGCACCCACCCACAAACTGACCGAAAACATCACAGGGTAAATCCTCATCACAGGTAGAAGCCGCAAGAACCGACCCACGCACTGCTGCGACTATCATTTGCAGAGGCAAGTTGCTGCACGCTTTTCTTTGAACCCAAGCTCTGCATGCCCAGGCCTGCTTTGCCCTGCATATCAGATCCCACAGCTTCCTGCCGCGCGTGCAGCCAAACTACTTGATACATGGCGGTCTATGTTTCTGAATTCAAGAACTGTGCACCACACGGAGACCACGCTAGCAGCCACGCGTGCGCTGCTACTGTGCAAGCGCCGTCGGCGGTCAGCCACGCTCGTGACCGCATTCAAAACGTCATTTCATGTCAGCGGGCCGTAAGGATGTCGCAATGGTCGGCGTCAGAAGTGAAAGAATGTAATATCACTGAAAATATCGCGATTGCTGCAAGGAGCACCCGACCTTTCGTAGCGTTGATCAGTTGATCTGGTTCTGCTCAGAAACTCGCTGCTGAATGGCTTTGTCCTCATGGCGCCAAAGAAAATCAAACCGGGGCCTCTACCGGGTCAGAAGAGCATATCCTCGTTAATCAGCGCACATCGGTCCGGCGAGCCGCTGCAGCAGCAGCATCAGCAAAAGACCGAGGCGCAAGCGAGCTGGGCGGGGCAAGCATCGGGAGCGGCGGCAGTGAGCCCGCCCCGCCCTCGGCAGCAGCCCCCACTTGCCGCCACATCGGCAAGCCCGGCGGCGAGCAAGGCGCCGTCACGGCAGAAGCAGCGTGGCGGGACGACCGCCGCCACAGCGACTTCGGGACGCCCCGGTGCCTCCAATGCGACGGCCGCCGCCAGCAGGGGCCTCCGCGCCCGCAAGGCAGACGCTGCTGCGGCGTCGCAGCCTTGTGCGCCGCCGCAGCCGCTGCGGCCCTGCGCGGCGCGGCTGGCTGCCAGCATCACGCAGGGTGTGGACAGGGCTGCTGCGGGCGAGGCGCCGGAGGGCATGGGGGCCCGAGGCGGCCTGTCGCGAACAGTTCGGGACCTGTTCGAGCGACAGGCATCCGCAGCTGTAGAGGATGGCGTTAGGGAGGGTGGCCCAGCGCTGCCGGCGGCACTGTTGGGACGGGCCGAGCAGGAAACGGGCAGCGCCGGGGAAGGGGGCAGGGGCGGGGGCGGGGGCGGGGGCAATGGCGGCGCTTTACAGGTTGGCGATATGGGGATCGATGACATTAGCGACGATGAGCTGGAGCTGCTGATGCAGCAGGTGGACGAACAGCAGCAGCAGCAGCAACAGCAGCGGCAGCAGCTTCAACAACAGCAGCAGCAGCAGCAGCAGCAGCAGCAGTTCGGCCACCTGCAACGGTCTGGTCAGCAGCAACAGGCGCAGCAGCTCGAGCAGCATCTCAACGGCACGCTGCCTGGTCACGATCGGCAGCATGCATGGCCAATCCCGCAGCAGCAGCAGCAGCAGCAGCAGGAGGAGGAAGAGCAGTGGCGCCCGGGCCCTGACGCCTGGCTGCGGCTCAACGAGCAGCAGCGCGCCGCGGCAACGGCGGCCAAGGACGAGCCACTCCTGATTCTGGCTGGGGCGGGCACCGGCAAGACCACCACGATCGTGGCGCGCATCCTCTACCTCATACACGAGGTGCATTGTGTGTATATATGTTGGGGTTTGTGTGTGTGTGTGTGTGTGTGTGTGTGTGTGTGCGTTTGTGCGTTTGTCGTGTCTCCCTGTGTCTGTGCATGTGTTGCGTCTTTGTCCATGTATGGGTGTGCGTTTCTGCATGTGTGTGTGTATGTGTGTGTCGTACATCCACCAAGTTCTGCGCATACAGTGAACAAGGGCAGCAAGGGGGACATGCAAGAGCTGACCCGGTTGTATGAATAAAACGGCGGCCCATAGCGCTTCAGGAGACTGACAACTCGCCCGGCAAACCTGCCGCGCCCCTGCGTTTCCCCCAGGGCGTGCGACCGTCCAAGATTCTTGCCATCACTTTCACAACCAAGGCGGGCCGGGGCTGAGGGCTGGGTCGGACCCCCGACCCAGCTGGGGGACCGGCTTGATGATGCACAAGCGCGTGGGGCGGCAGTGTGCGGCGGCATGCAAAGAGGTTTGGCACAGCTGAGAAGTCCAGAATTTGATACGTGTGCTGCCGCGCCCACTCAATCCATGATCTGCAGGCGGCTCTTGAGATGGAGGAGAGGCTCATCGAGGAGGGGATGCCGGCTGGCGGCGGGTGCGGAAGGGCAAGGGTGCAATCAACAGCGCGTGCGCGGCGGGCCGTAAGAGAGACAACTGCCGGCCCTACCGCATGCCAGAATCGAGGCGGGGTTGTGATCGCAACGCGTGCCTGTCCGCCGCCGCGATTGCCGTCCGCCCTTCCCCGACGCCTCCTGCCTCCCACCGCCGCGGTGAAGGGGCGTGACGGCCTGCACGTTCCATTCGCTGTGCTTCAAGCTGGTCAAGACATACTTCAGGGTGCGGCCGACGCCCTGCGGACGCCATGCAACCAGCTGCTTGCAGACACCCTTGCGTGTATCGGACCCCTCTCCACAACTGCATGCGTTTTGGGGGCCTCCAATTCCGTCGCTTGCCACGGCACGCAATACGTCATCGAAGGCCGCTTGGCTGTCTTGATACCAAGCGTTGCTGCTGCTGTCCGCGTCCGCCAGGCCCTCGGGTTTTTGGCGCCGCCAGTGGTGTGGACAGGCGCCGATCAAAAGGAGGCAGTGCGGGTGGCCATCAGGTAGGCGCCGCGCAGCCTACGCCCCCAATGCCCAGCCACAACACACCGCGCAGCCTGCCGCTGCTGGTCGGCCCGGCCGCTGCGGCAGCCGAGCGGCTGGACCTTGCCCGTGGCCGCCGCCGTGGCCACGAGCAGCGCCACACGACTGCCGTTTGCTGACACGCTTTGACTCGCGCCACGCTCGCCGCAGGGAGGCGCGCACCCGCAAGGCGCGTGTTGACCTGGCGCTGATGCTCGACCTGCCCCAGCCGGAGCTCAAGACGTGGCCAGACATCGCCAGGGCGGTCAGGGACCTGCACCCAGCGCTACATGCCAGGTGCTGCCTGTCACGTCGTGTGCAGTCCCTGCATGTGCGGGTCGTTTGCATTGTCGTTTTGCGTGCGGCAAGCGTGCGCCGCATGCAGGCGAATGTGGATTCTCTTGATTGGTTGAAAATGGTATTTCATGGGTTTTGGCGGCATCAGCCAACTGCACTATATTGAGCCAAATGCACGGCGTGGGGCCCCCTTTGCCTGCTCAAGGTGGCTGCAGAAGGCATCCAAGGTGCGAGAAGATGCAGCGGCGGCCGCCAAGGCCAAGGTCGAGAAGCAGAGGCAGCAGCAGCAACAGCGGCAGCAGGGAGGGCGCGGCAAGAAGCGCGCGGCGCCTGCGGCGGCAGCCAGTGGCGAGGCGCAGCAGCAAGGGGGCGATGCTCAGCAGCAGCAGCCGCAGCAGCAGCAGCAGCAGCAGCAGCAGCAGCAGCAGCAGCAGCAGCACAAGGGCGGCGCGCAGCCTGGCGTCAGCGGGAAGCGGCGGAAGCTGTCAGAAGCTGCGGCGGACCCTCGGCAGCAGAGGCTGAGCTTTGTCAAGCGGGAGCAGCAGCCGGCGTCGACTGCTGGCAGCTCGGGGCACGAGCGGTCCGTCCTGCAGCCGCAGCCGTCTGGGGGTCACTCGGAAGCGACGCACCCGCACGCTGCGGCGTGCACCACCTCGACCATGCCGCCGCCGGCACTGCCGCTGCCGGCAGCCGTGAAACCGGAAGGTTTGGGGCACGAGCGACAGCAGCAGGTCAGGCACGGCGAGCCGGGCCAGGGGAATGCCCTTCATGAGCGTGTGAAGCAGGAGGGCGCAAACCAGGTGCAGCAGCAGCAGCAGCAGCAGCAGCAGCAGCAGCAGCAGCAGCAGCAGCAGCAGCAGCAGCAGGGGCTAGCACAGGGGCAGTCGCTGCCTGCGTTGGAGCGGAAGGGCACCGGGCAGGAGCAGCAGCAGCAGCAGCAGCAACAGCAGCAGCAGCAGCAGCAGCAGCAGCAGCATGAACAGCGGCAAGGGCAGCACCAGGGCGCGGCGGCAGGCAGTGGGTCGCAGCAACAGGCGGGCGAGCAGGGAGGTGGCGGCGGCGGTGGACGAGACGAGGAGGTTGATCTGGTGCGTGTTGTGTGAACCTGTGTGCTAGGTGGGCAGGACACCTAATCAAGCTAAGGGTGCACCGTGCACCGAGCTGTGCTGCGCTGTCATGTCCTGTGCTCAGGCGTGTCAGGCCTGCATGCTGATTCATGTACACCTGCCACGGCGTGCCTGCCGTCCTGTGTATGCTCTTGCTGCTGCTCTTCGATGCCCAAACCGTGCCCTCATCGTCTCAGCAGGTCGCCCACCCGCCAACCGACACTCATCCGCCGGCGCATCCCTGTGTTGCGGATCCAATCACTGCCCACGACCTGTGCAGGCCTTCTCAATATTCGGCGTCCACTCGAGCGTCAAGGAGCGAGAGCTGCTTTACGAGGTGCGCCCGCGCCGCCACCGACTCTGCAATCGTTGGTTTTCCAACGCACCTCTTTGGCAACCATGGGTCAGGGGTTCGATCCCCCCCTTGGTGCAGCCACAGACCAAGAGCACCAGCTCAATACCAGGGCTCAGCTGCCGATCCTGGTTTGATAAGACACCACATACCGCAAACTGGAGGGTTGTTTAGGCAGGCTTTCAAAATTTTTACCTGCTCAATGCAACTGCGCCGGGGGCTCCTCCCGACCGCTCTGCGCACCCCACCCCTCCGCCCGGCTCGAGCCCCCGCCCTTGCCCCCTCGCCGCGGCCGCAGGAGGTTCGGGGCGCGCTGCGGCCGGATGGCGAGGACGTGCTGCTGGGGGGCAAGGTGGTGGTGAAGGAGCTCAAACAGGTGCGTCGGAGGGAACGCACGCGCCTGGGGCAGGGCAATGCGCCTGCGGCCGGCACGGGCCTGCAACTGGCACGGGCCTGCGGCTGGCACGGGCCTGCGGCTCGCAGGGTTGTGGGGCTGGCAGGGCATGGATTGGGCGAGAGCTCGGCATGGCCTGGGCCTGCGGCTGGGGCTAGCCAGCAGCTGGGACGAGACAGGGTCATGCTGGAGGGAGAGGAACTGTGCGCAAGTGGCGAGCCCAGAAGAGGGCCAGGCTGGGGGAGCACCCCTGGCCTGCTGCTCAGCAGAGGCAGATGCCGCCCGATCAACACATCGGCACCTTGTCCCCACGCCACAGCATCCATGCGACACGTGTGCACACGCGTACGCACAACACCGCACCCATGCACGCAACCGCACGTGCGATGACCTGCGTGCTGCAAGCCTAGAAGCTGGACTGGCTGTCCAAGGCCAAGACGGCCGGCAACGGGCCCGAGGAGTTTGGCGGCCACGAGAACGGCGCCCTCTACCATGCATACCAGGTACAGCCCCCCTTGCTGTGCGGCGCCGCGGAGCCGCCGCTGCTGCCTTTGTTCCCGCGTGCCGGCCCCGCAACACTGCGAATCAGGGGCCAACAGCAGTGGTGCAGCGGCACGGGTAACTTGTATATCCAAACCAGGCCCTGTGGTCAACACGTGTGCGCGGCGTGCCTGCGACCACGCACAGCCGGCGCCTGGCATGTGCGTGGCCGCAGCGGCGCCCTCGCTTGTGTCGACCCGACTGAGCGCAGACAATCGCCGCGTCATCCGATGTGCGATTTTGAACGCCCCGCCCCGCCTCAGAGCACTCTGAGGCGCTGCAATGCGGTGGACTTTGATGACCTTCTGCTGATGGGGCGCCGCCTCATGACAGAGGAGGGCTTTGAGAGGTGGGTGGTCAGGGTGTGTGCATATGAGAATTCTGTGCGTGCGAGCGTCAGTGTGCTGTGTGTGTGTGTGTGATCACATGTGTGGGTGTGTGCATAAGCAGTTGGGTTATATGCTTGCACGCGCGCTTGCCATGGGCCAGGGGCAGCCTTGCATGTGTTGGCGAGGGTCGTCTGCCTTGCAAGCATCCGTCAGCCAGGCGCAAACACACCTCGCACGAAAGGCTGGGCAGTGGGCCCTGCACATGCTGGGCGTGCGCCCTTGAGGTCGCCCGTCCACCGTCCGCCCTGGTGTCCCTATGCAGGATCGCCGACAGGGTGCGCTCGCGATACTCCCACCTGCTGGTCGACGGTGAGTCATCAGCGGCCGCGGCTGCCAGACAGCGACGCGGCAGGCGCGCACCCCTGCCGGCGAGACTCCTGCACCCTCTGCGTCTCCGCGCCATGCGCTTTGACAACGTGCTCCCTCTCTGTTGGCACCAGTTTGACCCTAGGCGGATCGCCGTCCACCGTATTCTCACACGATCAACATTACCTACGATTGCATTGTTGAGCCACGGAGCACGGTCGCACGCATTTGCCTCCCGCAGAGTACCAGGACTGCAACTCTGTGCAGATTGACCTGGTCAACGGGCTGCAGCAGGCGGCGCGCCATGTCACCGTTGTGGGCGATGACGCACAGTCCATATACAGGTGGGCGGGCTGGGTGGGGAGGATCAGTGTGTGTGAGTGTGTGTTTTCATTCGTCCTATTGACAGGGGTGCATGGGAGGCATGCTGAGGGGTGCGTGCGCGCACAAATGGCAGGCAGGTTTACAGCGTGCGCACATATGCACTCTGCCTTGTGTAGGGCAAGCTGCTGCCGAGTTCTCACCGCGGGCCTGTGCCCCAAGCTTGACCACGTGGCACGGCCCAACCTGCCCGTGCGCCCCACACGCGCCCTTCCACATTTGCAGGTTCCGGGGGGCGGAGCCGCGCGTGTTTGGTGTTTTCAAGGAGGGCTACGGCCACGCCGGCCTCCAGAAGATGCTCGTCGACAACTACAGATCCACTCGGCAGGCGAGGGGGCGCAGGCGTGGGGATGCCCGATTGACCAGGGGCCTTTGCGCCCCTTGCACTGAGCAAGGCCGCTGGGAGCGCGGGGTGTCCAGAATGTGTGGCGAATTTTGTGCCTTGGCTGCGCCGGCGGTGCCACGAGCTCAAGCCCGCCGCCAGCCTGGCCCTCTACATGGATGTTTTGATTTCAAAGGGGGCTACTCACACCGCCAAGCAGGCAACACGGCGCGGACACATCCGCGCCGTGCCCCCGGCCGCCACGCCTGCCCGCCATCATCATGAGCCCGCGAACCCCGCAAATATCGAATCAGATCCTGCGCGTGGCTGAGGCCGTGCTGGAGGGCGTGAAGCTTGAGGCGAAGGAGCTGCGGCCGCACAAGACGGGCGTGGGGGAGCCCGTGGTCCTGGTCGAGGCCGGCACTGAGAAGGACGAGGCCGACTGGGTCGCGCAGGTCGGTTGTGGCGGTTAGCGGTCGGCACGTAGCGGTTGACGGTTGGCGGTTGGCGCTCAACGGTTAGCTGTCTGCACCAATTTTTTTTATCAGCTTGATGAAAGAGATAGTTTGGCGCGGGAGGGTCGCCCCACAGCTGCCTGGGCACACAGCAGGGATGGCGCGAGGTTCAGAGCTGCAGGTGACTGTCGTGTGACGTGATTCCAATGGGTGCTCGCTGCCTGACGCTGGTGCTGCTGGCCACTTGGAAATTTGGGGGGCCATGTCGTTGTGCAGCGGGGCCCCAGGCCGGCCGTGCCACTCACACGCCGCCTACTCCATCCTTTTACCAGCTCACCCTGTCAACGCAGCCATCGTGCTTCTTCCACACAAACCCCCGCAGCAAGCGGTCGAGCTGCACAAATCTGGGGTGCCCTACAGCTCCATGGCGGTGCTGCTGCGCTGCTTCAAGCTGGGCGGCGCCAAATCCCACACGCCGCTGCAGGTGCACGTTTTTGTGCCGGGGGCGGGCATTGACCCATCGCTCTGCCCCCAACACCGAATCTGCACCCTCAGCGCGCTGCGCATGGGCAGGCGCATGCGTCTGCTTTGCCGCCGGCTGGGCAACGTCGCGTCCTCCTTTGCACCCAGTCCTGGGCGTGGCCTCCTCAGAGGGCCTCATGGCTGCAGCATCTACATCTGTCGCGTCCTCGGCATCTGTTTTCGCAGGCGTCGTTCGCTCGGCTGCGCATCCCCTTTGTGCTGGTCAAGGACACGGGCCTGTTTGAGCGGGCCGAGGTTGTAGACGTCATCGCCTACCTCAGGTGGGTGTAATTGCAATCGCAGATCAATAGTTGAAACAAAAAATTTGTTTGGCAGGTGGCGGGTGGCAAGCGCACATGCATATGCCAAGTGATCAACTGATACCCAGACTGCACCTATTTGGTGTTGAGTCCCGCATCGCGTGCCCTCCCGCCGTCACAAGCCAGCTGGGTCCTGCTTAAAAGCGCGACGCAAGGGCCTGCTCGCTGCCTCTTCCACGCTACAGCCCGTCATCAAGTCAAGCCCCTCAAGCCGTGGCCGCTTTTAACCCCCATCTCCTTACGGGCCCCTGCACCCGTGCTCACCCGCCAGGCTGGCCCTGAACCCTGCCGATGACGCCGCGTTCCTGCGCGTCCTCAACAAGCCCCCGCGCCGCCTGGGGCCGGCGCTGGTGGAGCGGCTGCAGCAGGAGCAGAGGGTACGGCTGGGTCAAGCAGACGAGCAGCAGCTCGTCGCCCAGCAGCAACAGCAGCAGCAGCAGCAGCAGCCGCAGCCGCAGGGGCCGGAGGGGGCGTGCCTGCTGCACATCGCGCGCGACATGCTGAGCGGGGGCGCCGTCGCGCCGGCGCACCGGCGATCGCTTTCTGAGTTTGTGGCGATGGTCGCTGACCTGTCAGCTGACGTCATGGGGCTCCCGCCGGACGGCGCGGTGCTGCGGGCGCTGGAGCTGTCGGGTCTGCCGCGGTTTCTCAGGGATCAGAAGCGGCGGCGGCGGGAGAAGGCGCGGCAGGGGGACGTTGCGGCGGAAATGGCGGCCGCGGCGGGAGGCGAGGAGGAGGAGGGCGAAGGTGATGAAGAGAAGGGAGAGGAGGGGGGGAACAAGAGGGGCGAAGAGGAGGAGGATGAGAGCGAGCAGCGGGGCGGCGGCCGCGAGCACGGCGGGGCGGCGGGCAGCGGGGCAGGCAGCCGGGGCGGGCTGCGAGGACGAGCGCGGTCGGGGCGGGCCGGCGGCGGCGGCGGCGCGGACGCGAGCAGTGGGGACGAGGGGGACGAGGGGGATGACAGCGAGGAGGAGGGCGGGGAGGTCGATTTTGGCAGCGGAAGCGGCAGCGGCGGGGAGGATGATGGCGGCGGCGGCGGCCGCTGGCGCCCCGGCCAGGTCGGCGGTTCGGCCGAGGCGGCGCGCCGGCAGGCGGCGCGGGAGGCGCGCAAGCAGCTGCTGGTGACGATGCCGCTGCGCGCGCTGTGAGCCGGCGGTCGGGCCGGGTGCCTGTGCTCCCTGCTAACTCCGACGCGGGACCCTGATGCTGCAGTGATTGGATGAACACCCCTGCGCCTTCCCCTTGGGCTTCTCTTGTGAAATGTTTGAGCCCTGCCGGTCCCGCTTCTATAGACAACCTGTACTTTGAGCCAGCCTGCGGTCTGGCCAAGGCCAACCGCACTTCAACCACTCACGATGCGAGCTCCTGGAGCCGCTGCGACCCCGCCCCTGTTTTGCTGCACCCACCGTACACGCGCGGCCCACCCAGGTACTACGAGGCCCGGGCCTTTGCCGAAGACCGCCTTGAGAGCCTGGGGGAGGCCGCTGAGCTCGCCGCCGCCGCCGCCGCGCGCCGCGAGGCCGCGCGGCGGCGGGCAGCTGCGGCCGCGGAGGGGCCGTCGCAGGACGAAGGCGGGGCGCAGCGGGGGGAGCCGCAGCAGCAGCAGCAGCAGGAGCAGCAGCAGAATGCTCAGGAAATGCAGCCGCGCGACGGAGCACACAGGGCGCCGGAGGAGCCCGGCGCCATGGTGCCCAGCCTGTTTGTGCTGGCGGCCGAGGCGGTGCAGGGGCTGTGGTCGCCGCGGGAGCTTCTGGCGATGGGGTTTCCGCAGCAGCTGCTGGAACACATGTATGGGGTCTTTGGCAAGGTGGGCGGTTGCTGACATGGCATGCCTAGGCCCCGACCTGGCCCCGAAAACGGGCAGGCCTCGGCGGGGCTGGGGGCGTTGGGCGGTGCAGGGCGGAGGAGTGCGGATATCGGAGCAGGGGCGACGGTTTTTGCTGAGCAGTGCAAGGGGTTTCAGCGCGGTCGCAGCCTGGCCTGGGCGCTGCAGCTGATCAGGACCTTGATGGGTGGGGGCCAGCGCAGCGTCCATGGGAGCATACTGCCCAGGCGCCCAGCCACTTGCTGCGCCGGCCCGCCTGGGCCATGTGCGGGCAAGCTCAGTGCTGCAGGGGCTGGCGCGCCCCTGCCGCCGCTCCCCTGGGCTTGGCGCACGTATGCAACGCAGGGCCACGGTGCTGTGCGGGAGCTAGTGGCCCACGCCTCCCTGGCGCGGGAGCTGGCGCTGGCGGAGAAGTACCGCAGAGCAAAGCCCGGCAGGCGGCAGCAGGGGCAGCAGGAGGAGCAGGAGCAGCAGCAGGGCGGCGGCGAGGAGGGGCAGCAGCGGGACGGCGGGCGGGGTCAGGGGGCCAAGGATGGCGCCGTCACCATCAGCACCATCCACGCCGCAAAGGTGCGGGGCTGGGGGTACCGGCAGTCCAACAGGCAGGGGCCGCCCGTTTGACCCGCTCTTGTGCTTATTGTGAAGTCCGCACGGCCGCTGGCGCAGCCGCCGGAAGCTGCCCGTGGGTGCACGCCGCAGTTTCACGACCCGCATGCTCGCTTCTACACACCCTGAACCCTGATCGCAGGGTCTCGAGTGGGACGTGGTGTTTATGCCACGCATTTATGCCGGGTTCCTTCCGCTCGATTACAGGTGGGGGAGTTTTGAAATCAAAACCGAACTGGGCGGGGGCCATTGTATTGTCGATTTTGCGGCTGAGCGGCCTTCACCCGCCACTGCAGCAGGTGGCCTGTGCAGGCTCATACATTGGGAGCGCCTCGGCGCGCTCCCAATGTATCACTCTCACCCGGCGGGCCACCTGCACTGCAGGCCGTCAAAGGATGCCGCGCTGGAGGAGCAGTTAGAAGAGGCGAGGGAGCACTACGGAGAGGAGAGCCGGCTGGGCCACGTGGTGCGCGGGCGGCCGCACGGCCCACGGGCGGAGGGCGGGCCTGCGGCGCGCGCCGGGCAGCGACTGGCTGGGAAGGGGACGGGCCCGTCGGCGCCGCGACTCGACTCCCTCTTCAGAGCACCCCCTGCCGGCCCGCCGTTGCAACCCGCGCTCCCTTCGCGCTCGGCCGCACCCGCTGCCTTGCATCTGCAGGGCGTGACGCGCGCGCGCGAGCGGCTGTTCCTGTCCTACCCGCGGGTCCTGGATGACTGGGTGATCGAGGACCAAGACGGCTGCAAGCAGCGCGTGCGCGGCGCGATCCTGCGGCCCCCTGCGTTGAGCCTGCCGCCCGAGAGCGAGCGGCTGCCGGCCCGCAGCCTGCTGGAGGACGACGGCGGGCCGGTGCTGGTGAGGACGGTGCTGCCTCGGAGCGCGGGCGAGGAGGAGGTGCGGGCACAGGTTGGCAGGCGGCAGAGGCCGTGGGTGGACGACCCGTGAGCCCGGGCGCTGCGGTCCCTGAAGGCTTGTTTGTGATGTCCAATAGCCGTCCGTCCAGCTCCACTTCATGATTTGGTATAGATTCGAGATTGTTGGTTGACAAACAAAGCGTCCCCAGTTGTACCACGCATCACTGCCTTCCCCTGCTTTCTCAAGCAATTCTGACGCGTACACCGCGCGGAATGGCTCAACCCGCTGCAACAGACAGGCGGTCAATGCAGTCAACGCCACCCCCAACGCCCATGTGCATTCCCTCTCATCTGCAATGGCTCATGAGTCCCTTAAGCCTGGCCTTGATTATGCTCCAAACAAGCAAGGCACCACGCGCTCCACTTTTCCTGCATCGGTAACGTCGCAGAATCAGCTGCATTCGGCGATCGACCTGCGCGTGCGGCAGCGGAATGCGAATCTCAGCGGATGGAGCTTGAGGTGCGTGTGGCAATCACCCACTGCCTTGTCAGCTCTTGAACATCGAGTCGCATCTTGACATATGCCGTCGAAGCACACAGCGTTCGATATTGCAGATCACCTCAAGCATTTGTTCTGGCGTTCCTGCATCTCTACACGGGCAATCAGGCCGTCACTGCCCTAAAAGTGCATCTTACCTATCACATCTGTGAATATCTGGGAAGTTTGTAGGACATACACGCGTTGCGGCGGTGTGCCGAGCGATCAACAGCAACTTGGGCAAGACATCGCATGCGTCGGACGCTTTACGCATGCGGCCTACAGCCCCCGTCACTGTAACATGCGGTCTGGATCACCCGCTGCGCCGCGCGAGCCATACCACCACAGCCAGCGAGAGGTGCGCCTGCAGCACATGCCAAGGATGACGCTGCGCCGGTTGTGCCTACCCGTGCACCTGCCTGCATGCCCATGGATTTGGGCATGCACAGCTTCAGCACACCTGCACGCATGTCTATGACCGCGCCGGCACCGCATTACGCCGACCCCGCAGCGCGGCGAGCAGCGGCGCGGGCTTGCCTTCGGCACTGCTCACGCCGCGAGTTGACAAGGGGCTTCTTATTGACGACCCCCTCCTCTGTGGCAGCTGTGGGGGCGGTGGTAACCACACGGCTGCGGCCGCAGTAGCGGCTCCCGAATCGGATGCCTGCAGTGAGCCGCAGGCCGCCGGCTCCCCCGTGCAGCACCAGCAGCAGCAAGGCGGCGCGGAAGACGGCAGATGCGCCGCCGCGCAGCCGCAGCAGGCGCCGCCGCCGCACCAGACGCCGCGGGGCGTGCGCTGGGCCGACAGCGACGCTGCTGCGGGCCAGCCCGCGGGCGCGGAGAGCGTCACCTGCGGCGAAGCCGGCGACAGGCAGCAGGCCGGCGGGCCGGCATCGGTCTCCGGCTCCGCCGGCGTCGCAAGCACTCCCGGCGGCGGCGGCGGGGGCGTGGGTGGCGCCGGGGGCCGCGAGATCGTCGCGACCGGCGGCCGGCGGCCGCCGCTGCCGGAGTCCGGGAGCGCCCAGTTGGACAAGTACTTGCTATACCTGCTGAAAGGGGAGCACCCACACAAATTCCTGTGCGTCGCAGGGGCGGAGGTCCACAGGTGGCGCGCGGCGGCGGGCCCAGCCCGGGCCCAAGCGCCAGAGCTGGGCGGCCGCCGGCCCGGCGCACGTCTCGCCGACAGCGCAGACGCCACGGCACGCCGCCAAGCTGATCGTTGCAGCGGGGGCCCCGGCGCGTCCCTTCTCTTCTTGACGCGTCAACCTGTCCTCCTGCGGCGGCGCCCCGCGATTGCTGAACGAGCGGTCGCGCCTTTTTTGTTTCTCTAATGCAGGTACTATCCAGGCTGGGGCCTGCCTGATGACGCGTGCGCGGCTGTTGGGGAGTTTCTGCGTCTGGACCGCCGCATACGCGTGGCCACGCTGTCTGGCAACAGGATCGGCGATGATGGTGCGCGCTGTGTGGTGGGAGGGGTGGCCGTGACACAGCGTCCCTCGCGCAGGCGCCGTGGGTGTATGGGGTTGCCCGCGTTTGCGGGGCGGCTGGGACGGGGCATGGCCGGCGTCGGCGCCCCCTGGGCTTGGCCTTCGGGCACACAGGGAGTGGCCCGCCGCGTGGCCTCCGATGCCAACTCTCGCGGCTGCGGCGGCGGCGGCCGCCGCCCGCGGCGGGACGCGTCGCGGGCGCCTGCTGCTTCCCGCGCGAGCGGCCGTCTCGGTTCCAGTCCCCCACCCCACCCCCAAACCCGAACCCAATCCAACCC